AGACCAAAAATACTGAGACGAGAGCCCTGTTTGTACAGTACCATCCCTTGCTATACCTGCACACGTATACACACTCACACATGTGTCAACATTGTCAGGATCCAGTTCCAGCTCCTGTTTCAAGGAAAGAGGGGAATTCTACTAACAAACCCATTCCCACAAGGAAGAGGCCTGCAAGAAACCCATACCTGTCATGGAACTTTCATTCTAGCCCAACCTATATTTTTGGTCTCTATAATATATTATGACATCCCACATCTTCCTTCATTTCACAGCTCCCTGAGGCCAGAGCTTGGAAGCTTAGCTGCTAGGAATGTTATCATGACATGTCTATTCTGGAGAAAGGAAGGAAAGAAAGAAGTCCCATAAGAGTGAGCGACCAAAGATATAAGAAGGGGAAGAAGAGCTAGCCCTGATAAATCCATCTTTTCCTTTGAGCCTTTGTTGAATTACCACCTCCTTGGTCCTTCACCTGGTACAAATCATGGGCATCTCTGCTCAGTGAATGGAGAAAGATCTGCATCCTCAACAATCAGCTCCTGGTATCTACACGAGCAGCAGGATGAGCAAAGGTATTGGGGTTCTTGACTATGTAGGAAACCTTGAAAGTATATAGTCCCTCCCTCCCTCCTTCCCTCCCAGATATATGCATATTAATCTGCAATGTTTTAAAGAAATGTTAAATGTAATCTTTTAAAGTGTAATAAATTTATTTTTTTAAAAAGGAATTAAAGAGGAACTATGCATTCTGGAGGAAGAGGCAGTTTTTAAAATGTACAGTATAAAAATCTGGCCCTTAGCCAGCACCACGTACATCATATTAGCTAAGGGCCACATTTTTATATAGTACATTTTATCCGTACATCACAAGCACAGTCCACAAGACCAATTTTGAATGTTTTGAGGACACACAATAGTGCTACATCTATTATTATTACTACATTCGTGTAGAGTAGTAGTTACAGTGTTCAATTAGGACCTGTTAAAATCCATCCTCAGCCATGAAAATTCACAGGGTGACCTTGAGCCACTTATTCCCTCTTGGCTAAGTCTACCTCACAGGGTAGTGGTTGTAAAGAAAAATTCAAGGAGGGAGTACAGTCTATGGCATCTTGGATTCCTGGAAGAAAGGCAGGATACAAATCTAATCAATAATAAGTAAATCCTACAAAACTGGCTCTTTTCTAAAAGCTACGGGATTGTTTCTCTGTTCTTACATACAACTGGTCTTACACATATTTCCCAGAAAAAAACAATAGCAACCATGTCTATGTTCTTGCTTGCCAAGAAAACAACATAAATCTGTCACCAGAAAATGAATTTGCCCTGATGGCGATTTTAGTTATACATATTTACCCAAGAGTAGGTCACAACTGAACTCAGTCTAATTTACTTGTAAAGAGGTATCTATTTGTAGGAAAGAAAGCCAGTATAGTTTTATCTATAAGTGAGGCAGTTATGTGGGAAGATGATCTTTATTTTTTCTTTTTGATCTCAGATGTCTCCAACAATAGGCTTTGTTTTTAACCATGTTATAGGTATGAATTAGTTTATCAGTGTCAGAATATCTGTGCTATCTCCAGCAACTGCTTTTGTAAACTGTAATTATAATGATTTTCAAGAGCATATGGCAGCTCTGGTGACCATATGGACACATTCCTGAAATTTTCTTGGCAGCAATATGGATATTTCTTAATTACATTTATATCCCACCTTTATTTTGTACAACTCCTTTAGGATGTTTTTTTCAGCTTTCTAGACTAGCCTACAGTTCTGGGATGTCCTGGTGGTCTCCTTTCCAAATACTACCTAGATCTGATTCAGGTTGCTTAACTGCTGCCATTTCCTGTGACATCACGATTTTGTTGCTGTTGTTCAGTCGTTAAGTCGTGTCCGACTCTTCGTGACCCCATGAACCATATTGCGCCAGGCCCTCCTGTCCT